TCTTATGATTTAAAAAATCAAATATGAAAAGACGAATTTTTTAACATAAATCGCTTCTCGAGGAAAAATCGCCTTCTGAAATTATAAGTTAGACAATTCAATAATTAAATTACGCCAATGTTACAATAAATTTATGGAAAATTTTTACATGAAAAAATCGCTTGTAATTAGAGGAACGTTATTTAAGTTAAGAATGATTAATGTAGCTGTCTAATTTTGAATGATAATTAAAAAACGGATTGGCAAATTTCTTTTTTAACGATTTAAAAATCAACAAATTAGTTACAATCATAATCATTAATTTTACAGATACGTACGATCGATTCGCTATCTAACAGTGCAATTTTAATTGTTTAAAACAATTATAAATTTTTTATTTATTGATAACTTAGTGAATAATTAGTTATCAAAGTGTCAAATTCTTGCTTTTCTGTTTCAATGCGTCGAGGTTGTAATCGCATACTCGAAATAACAATATAATCGTTTATTGCAAAATAACTAACAATATTAACTTGTAAATTAAATTTGACTAATAAATATCGACATGAGAGTTATAACAACATGAAATTCAGGATCAGCGCATCAAAATTGACTTAAAAATACTTTAGTTTATTCGAAAAACTTTATAATTATGGATTTCCTATTGTAAACAATAAATTTTCCCACGGTCGTGACGTCACGCTCCTTATATGGTAATGTTTTCGCAGAGTTGCCCTAACACATTTGCATATACGTGAGAAAAGCGCCTTTGCTCCATTACCGCTTTTCTTTGATTGTTTTGTGTATGACGGGTTGCTAATTTGCAGAGGGAAATGAGAGACAAATCAGACTGGACCGTTACAGTAAAGAGGTCGCGCTCGGAATCTCATACGACTTTTAACGTCTTTTTGACCGGATTGCCCCGAATACCACAATCCAAGTCAAAGATTCTTTTATCGAGATTATTTAAGGCGGACGGATGATTCGACGCCCACTTTCGAATAACGAAATCCCCGCGACTCAGAAGTTCGATCATGTCGTCGCGGATCGCCCAGATGTCCTCCAGCTTGTCTGCACCTGAAAGGAAATCATCGACATAGAAGTCTCTGCGAAGCAGTTTAGCTTCTCGAGGGAAGTTGGTTTCCTCGTCCGTGACCAGCTGGATCGAAGTTCGGATTGCTAGAAGAGGTGCGCAAGTAACCCCAAAAGTGACGATGTTTAGTACGAAAGTTCGAATCTTGCCTTGGTAGTACCACAGTATTTTCTGGAACTTCCTGTCGTCCGGATGGATCCAGACCTGGCGATACATCTTCTCGATGTCGGAAGAGAAAATGCGGAACGACAAGTGTAAGAGAAGAGTTATTTGAATGGTAGGACCGGTTAACAAGGCGGAGTTTAACAATCGACCGTTGGAGGTATTGGGTGAAGCATCGAACACGACCCTACACTTCGTGGTGTCGCTGGACTCCTTGATCACGACGTGGTGAGGCAAGTAGTACCAATCGTCGTCGTCTTACTCCTCCACCAGTGTCATATGGCCCAGCTTCAGATAGCTGTCTATCTCCTTCTCGTATGCAGCTCGAAAATCCGGATTAGCAGTACCAGAATCGTCAATTGCTTCGATATTGATAGAACATTGCTGAGTTTTTAAACCGAGACGTGATAGAAAACTTTGAGTCATGAGATTTACATTGGAACAGGAATCTGAAAGCGACCGGGCCATATAACTATCACCTCGAACGCTTTCGAACTTCAAGACTGCAGTTGTCATTAGTTGAGAATCGGCAGAATACGCATTGTATGTGCAAACTAAACCCGAATTTAGTCACGCTGACGATTTTCTCGCAGGCATACTCTTGTCCTTGGCGGAGTTGTTGTCCTTTGCCTTGGCCCCTTTGTTCTTCTTGTCGTTGTGGAGGAAGGAGTGATGCTCAACCTAGCAATGCTTGCACCACTTGTTGCTGCTACACGGAGAAGCGTGCGGGCCCAAGCAGTTCCGACAAAGTTTGTGAGCGTTAACGAGTTTCCATTTTACGTCAAGATCGCTCTTCTCGAATTCAGCACATTGATAGAGACAATGACCTTGACTGCATTTCAAACACGAGGAACTTGAGGATGTACGAGGGTCGTTTGAAAAGTCCGTGCAAAAATAAAAACTGTTTTATTTTTTTTAATAAATCTTTTTTATTTTTCAACATAGTCTCCTTTTAGGCTTATACACTTCATCCAAAGCTGCTCTACTTTGTTAATCCCTTCCAAATAATAGGATTTGTCCAAGTCTGTAAAATAGGCATTCATTTCTGCAATCACCTCCTCGATTGAGTAAAATCTTTTCCCCGCCAAACATTTTTTCATATTAGGGAACAAATAGTAGTCCGACGGAGCCAAGTCTGGAGAATAGGGGGGATGTGAAACGAGTTGGAATCCTATCTTTATCAGTTTTGCGGCCACAACTGCTGAGGCGTGAGCTGGCGCATTGTCGTGGTGGAAGAGGACTTTTTTATGGGCCAATCGTGGACGTTTCTCTAGCAACTCGGTTTTCAAATGATCCAATAACGATGAATAATATTCGCCTGTAATGTTTTTACCCTTTTCCAGATAATTGATGAAGATTATTCCTTGCGAATCCCAAAACACAGTCGCCATAACATTCCCGGCCGAAGGAATTGTCTTCGCCTTTTTCGGAGCAGATTCCCCCTTGGTAACCCATTGTTTAACCCTTTGAAGCATACATTTTTCTCTCCAGGATATTTAGATGAAAATTTATATATAGGGGTTTTTGAGGTCGCTGATCATGAATCTGACATTAGATTGTTCGAATTTTGCATCTAAGATGGCGGATTCAGAATGGCGGACTTAGATTTTTTTCTATATTCGCTTGAAAACTTAAAAATTCATAACTAATGAGTTTTAGGGGTCACTGATAACGAATCTGATATCAGGTTTCCTAAATGATGTATCCAAAATGGCGAATTCAAAATGGCGGACAGGCATTTATTTTCTATATTGGCCTGAATACTTCAAAATTCAATGTAAAGGCTTTTAGGGCTCGCTGATAACGAATCAGATATCAGATTTCCGAAATAATATATCCAAAATGGCGGATCCAAAAATTCGGATATCAAATTTCATTTTTAGGGACTTCATTTTCATGAAACGTAATTTCTAAGGATTTTCGGTCGTGCTGATAACAAATCTAATAATATAATTTAGTATTCTGTTTCAAATATTCTAGTATTTTGTTTTCTGATTAGGTGAATGAATCTCTCAAAAAAACAAAAAAATATATATATATATGGCCCTCAAACCCATGGAGAGTACATTCAATACAAAGTGTTTGGTGCTCATACAAAAAAAAACATACAAAACAAAAAAAACGTAAATGGAGCTTGAACTCATCACGTCCTCGTCGTAATCTCCGGGTAATGCCGAGAATGAGTGAAAGAAGTATCCACTATTCTGAGATATTATACTTTCAAGTCATGCAAATAAGCATGTACATCAATCATATCCTTTGGCCATCTTGGCTGCAGAATTTCAGAAAACTAGTATGATATTGATTATCACTGAGGTTGAGGCACTTTATATCTATGAGTTTGAGAGTATTCAAGCCAATATAAAAATATACATATCCGCCATTTTGAAAGCATTATTTCGGAAACCTGATATCAGAATCGTTATCTGCGACCCCTAAAACCCTTTAGATATGAATTTTAGAGTATTGGTATCACTATAGGAAATCTTCTTGCCCGCCATTTTAGATCCGCCATCTTGGATACACAATTTTTGAAATCTGATGTCAAATTATTATTCAGCGACCCCAAAAACCTTTGTATACCAAAGGCCATAGACGACTTTGTATGGGGCTCTGGGCCCAGAAACCGATTTCAAAACTGAATAGCGGATCATATTTGGGATGCTAAAAGATGATTTTTCACCGGGTTATAGCTCCCGAAATGCACTTGGGGCAAAATGGGACACAAAAAACCGCTAAAAATCGTGATTTTTGACTTTTTTCACGTTTTGGCCTCGTAACTCAGACGCAAATCAATATTTTTCAACGTACTTGTTTTAGTTTTACTGATGAGAAAATTTACTAACAAATACATTTGTTTTTATTTTTTTTCTGAGGCTTTGGAGCTCGCTAGAGCGCTTTTTCGGACAAAAAAAAGCACTTTTTTTCATTTTTTTTTTATCTTTTTCTCCATTTTTGACCGGGAAGTCGGCCCGTCGCTAACTTTAGACCTATTCCATTCGATTCCTCGGAAAAAAATACAAAAGAATCATGCTTAAGAAGTTAAAAAGACGTGGTGCAATTTTGCCAGTGAACCAAAGCTCAACGCACAATCATTGTAACCGTGGTTTCCCCATGCAATAGTTCTCCGCATTGATTGCTATACCGCCACGGGCGCACACAGAAGGGATATCTGTATTTCCGAACATATATCTTTATGTATTTTGATTCGCTGAATCTGAATTTCAAGTCAAAATGACGCGAAAACCCCTGGAAATCTCAGAAAAATAAAAAAATAGCCAAAATCGCAAAAAATTGGAAAAAATGATGTTGACGAGTGTGAGAACATTCCATAACATTTTTGTATTTTTGATTCATATTGGGTATGTTTCTTACGTATTTTGATGCGCTGAATCCAAATCTGCAATTATATATAATATTATATGATTAAAAAAATAGTATCGTACATTTATTTTACAGCCACTTTGGAAACTTGAATTTGACAATGGGTCTTGAAATTGGATCAATATATACAGTTTTTCATTCATTTTCAATACAAAACCATTTCTTCTAATCATAAAATATATTTTATAATTATGCAATTTCTGCGGCTCTACCTAGATTTAAGAATATTATAACTTGGTGATGGAAAAGGTACAAAATGAAAAGATAAATATGTGTGAATAAGTAAAAATGGATTTATTTTTGAATTATCCATAAATACTTGGTAAAATATATTTATATCTACCATAATATATATATATATATAATAGATATCCCTTAAGTTTCAGTCACTATCAATATCATTGCAATCGTCCTCGATATCACTGCTCAAATGTTCTTCTAGATCTTCTTCTGTTATATTCTCTTGTTCAACAGGTCCCACTTCTTTTTCAGTTTCAATTTCGTCGCATATATCACTCGCCAAATCTACCCCTTCTTCTCTAAAGAGTGTAGTAAGTTTTTCAGCCGGTTTGAAAATTTTATTGTCATATCTTGCTAAAGCTAGATAATATATCACAGCTGCAACATGGCAGCAACAACCTACAGTCCTCAACCCATTAGGGCAATCACAAGTGTACCTTTGAATCCCGTTGAGTCCAAAGGTATCAGGCTTATAATCTATATAACATTTGTAGACCTTCCTATTGACGTGGCGTGATCTCACCAAAACTGAGATAATATTTTTATGTTCTTTGAGATATTTCAATTGCAGATTACCCTCCTCATCTAACATTTCGGCTAAGTACGATATCGCCATTGCAAGCTGGTAGGTACCAGAAAATAGTATTTTGAAATCTCGTTCAGACATTTCTGGAAAGTCAACAAGGTCAGTTGCACTGAGCTTTTGAAAATTTTTGATTTTACGACTCCAGCCTGCCTCTGTCACTTCTTCAGCAAGGGTATTCTCGGTGAAGGTCGGATTCAACATTTTGTTGATTATTTCGTCACTGATCTTGTCATCTGTTTTAAAACGTTTACCGAATTTATTGTTTAAATAACAGGCTATCCGGCAGAGTGACTTGGCTTTTGGAAGCATTTTATTGTCCATATTATGATGAAGCAGCTTGAATTTTAATTTGATCTGTCCATGTACTGCTTCAATAACCCAACGCAACTTAGTTACAATACGGGAGCTATTTGCTTCTGCTGTGGGAAGCTGTTTTCTTTTTCCCTTCAAAGCGGGCATTAGAACAACAAACTTTTTATCTTCTAACAACTTAACTACATTTCTGAAACCGCGATCAACGATCATAATGTCGCCTTCTTTCATTAATCGAAATACACTGTTGGGATCAGCCAATACTTTTTTCATTATCTCTGCATCATTTTTTGTGCCTTCATAAGGGCCACAAATATCCACAATAAAGCCGTTGGTTGTACAAACAGTAAATGGTTTGATCAAAGGCGCTTTTTTTTGCCCTGAAAAAGCATGGCGTTGATACTCATTGTTGAAGCTTTTTTGATGCTTGACGTAGGTACCATCAAATATCAAAACCAATTCATCTCCAGTCAACTGTAATAACTTTTTAGCATCTTGAGATGTATGATTTTTAATCAAGTTTTGTCTAGCCTCAATGCATTCTGCTGCAGTCATGTGTTTCTTTACACCGAACAGTGTAGGTAAAATATCTTTTTCAAAACATGTTATAACATTGCTACAGATCTCTGACACCAGCTGATCGTTATCAAATTTAAAAATTGTGGCAATGGTATTATTTGATGCTCCAGAACGCAATTTAAATAAAAATGTTATTAAAGCTTCAGTAACTGTTCGGTTATGTGAATTATTCATGGAAGTCAAAGCGAAACATAATTTTTGTAAATTGTTTAAAGAGAAACCTGTGAGAGATTTCAAACGATCTTCACTTAATTGAAAAGCTCCGGCTTCATTCAGCAAAGATTGATTACTCTCTATGGATAATCCTTGGATCAATTTCGTTACCTCATCTACAGGCACCTCAGAAGTCTTTGAATATGATTTAATGTTACGTAAATCTTCTAAATATATTCGACCATTTAAGTAATGTTCCGAACAAGCACGAGCACCTTGCGGTATATAAAGTTGCATCTGTCTGTAGCAGTGCAATCTGGCCTCAAAAGTTATACGAGCTCTATCGCCAACAACGCCGCAAATAATACAACTTCTTTCAGTAATAGAACATCTTGGAATTGGCAAGGTAACGTAATCAACTCCATTTTCTTCAACACTTGGCGGTCGATACGAATTATCTGATCCATACGATTGTGAGGAAACTTGAGAATCAGTCTTCTGACTCTCTGACTTTAAAGTTACTGTACTTCGAGTGACACGCACGGTTGAATCTCGTGTGCCAAGTTCAGTTGTATTGGCCAAGGCAGTAGGTTCATTGGAGCTTTCTGTACTTCTTGTGACACGAACGAATGGATCGTGACTACGTGATTCTGTTAAATTGCAATGAGTATTAGCAGATGTTTCACCCAAGGCTTTACTTTCAGTTTTTGGTTTTTTGCTTGTATGAAATACAACTAGTTTTTTACATTTTCTGCACAAATATGCACCTATACTGGTAGTAACAGAAAGCTGTTCAAGAATTTCACTTACTTCTTCCGCAGTAGTAATTTTTTTTGCTGTTGATTCTGGAAATTTGCGCATGTGAGTCCTGCATTTCGCACACTTCGAATTTCGAAATGCATCTGTTGCAGTTGATGTTCCGGGCGGACCCTGAATAAAAAAAGACTTTCGTTTGTTTGACTTTTAAAAATGCTAAGATTTTATTTGTACAAAAAATTCTTTCGAAAATAGAAGCTAATGCTGAATACGAGGGGTAAATCACTCGACGAAATGGCGTACAAAGATTGTGAATCTTCAAGATTTTTTTAATGATTTTCAAAATCTCTCAAATCTCAATGATTAGTAAGATTTCTAGGAAGCTGCAAAGATTTGCAATAAAATGAAGATTGCTTAGAAATTATTAAAGGATTTCTTAAAATCTTCAAGATTTTTATAATCTTTCAAATTTCCAATGATTAAGAAGATTTCCAAGACATTGAAAAGATTGCACAATTATTTGCAAAGATTATTTGGAGATTATGAAATCATTTTTATGAAATATTGAGAATTTCAAATGATTGTGAAAAATCTTTGCAGTCTAGATGATTTTTTTGAGATTTCTATAAAATTGCAAGATTATATATAAATTGTATTTCTATTTTTTTTTTTGTACAATGATATACTATAACGGGGTTCCTGCTCAGCTTCGCTCGAGCGGGACACGCTATATAAAAGTAACCGCGGAAAAGTAGATGAATGGCTCTCCAGAGCAGATCGGCACTCCTGCACCGAACGTCCTGGGTCCAGCAGCTCAGTTGCCTCCTTCTCGAGTCGAAAATTTGGCCCGCGGAGAGTGTTGTAGGCTACGCGTGAAGATGCGCGACGTCCAAAATGAGAGATTCGCGCGTGTATAGTCGCATACACAATTGCAATCCAAGGAACAGGGAGTCGGCGGGCAATAAGCACTCGGATATAATTAAAAGTGGATGCGTGTAAATTTTAATTAGCACAAAGGAATACATAATATCAAAATGATCGATATAAACAAAGTTAATCGCAACGCAACAAACTCGCAATAGCTTGACAGTGAAGCGAACGGAACTGCGCACGCGCTACGCGGTTAAGGTCGCGCAAGCACTCGCTCTGTTGTGAGCTGTGCACAATGGCGACAGCGAACCGGCGCACACCGTTCGAACGAGGAAGCGACAGCGCTTAACCTCGTCGAAGCATGTAACAGCGAATTCGCCTCGCAGGAGCCGGACGTTCGCAAACGGCAAACCGCACTTATTCGTTTCGGAGACGACGAATGTATAAAAGCGACAGCACGTTCGCGGGGAGAGAGAAATTGCCGGTACCAACCGTGGCTGCGGCACAACGTGTACCAAAGAAAAGGCGGGTGTAAACGCGTGGTTCAGTTAGCGTGAAAAAGGAGAGAACGGTATAGAGAGAGAAGCCAGGTACTGGATCTAGTACTTACAGTATAGCCGCTTGCACTCCTATCCTAACCCGCAAATCAAGGGCACGCGACGGCGGGCTCGCTTCTACCGCGCACTCGCTTTGTTTTTGGTTGGCTGCCTCGCAATAACACTTTTTTTTTGGCGTATCCAGCGTACGTAGGCGCGTGTAAGGCTGGATGACCGTGGTAGGCTTCGACTCGCGCGAGGAACGTTAGCTCGTCGATCGTCGAAAACGGACTGTCTCAATATTCGAAACTCTCTCTCTCTCCTCGCAAGGAAGCGTCTCCCCGCGAGGTCCGCGCCGCGAGTCGATATCGATTATCGTACGCAAGTTGCGTCGCTTACCAGTTCGCTGACGTCCGTAATGCTGTAACTATTCAAACAATAAAGTAATTTACAATGATTATTAAATATATTAGTTACTGGCTTCTTGGAGAGAGAGAGACATAACGAAGATACAAACGATTCGTTATATCCCCCTTCCCCAGACGCTGGTTGCCAGTGGGTACCAGATCGAAACCTAGTCTCTCTCTCTGCATGCATATGAGTTTATTTACCTCTTAGGGAAAATTTAAGGCGCGGGCCATCATATTGGGGCGGAATAAGCGCAACCACAAAAGGATAGGAAGGGCAAGGTAGTTAGAGTAACTCTCTCCTTTACAAAAATAGGCGTTTATTCGCTACAAATGTAGTAAAAAAAAAAATAAAACGGTTAAATACACTTTTTTTTTGATTAGGGGCACAGCCCTCGTTTAGCGTTACGCGCGCCGCGTAACAATCAAGTACATGAGAAGAGAAAGAAAAGAATAAAACGTGGTAGCGAAACTCGCTTTTAGCGTGTACGCTAAGCGTAACGCTTACTTGCTGCCCTTATGGGCGCGCAGCTCATTCGCCGTATAGGCGTACTGCGCCTGCTGCTCCGACAACCACAGCGGGTGGAGCGAAAAGTTCGGGCAGTCCGTCGAGCGAGCGACGCCAGTCAGGCCGCACATGCGGCAGAACCTCACGCCTATGAGGTCGTCGCGTGGTCCATCCCACTTTCCGCAGGGTTCCGTGCGGAACGCGTTCTTGAGGGCCACGTGGCCGGGTGGCCGTTTAATGGAGCCCCGCGCGAAGCTCTGAGTCAGGCCTCCAGGCCTGGCCGGAGCCTGGGCGACGACCATTTCTGCGCACGGTCCCGCCTGGTCAGAGGTAGACTCCGTGTCCCAGGGCCTTCCGGCTTGGCAGATACGGAGCGCGTGGTGACGGGGATCCACCGCCAAGCGATCCAGCTGCCTCATCTGGGCACGAAGGTCGTCCACCTCCCGCAGCTTGGCCTCGACGGCCTCAGCGAGCGCTCGCTTCTCCTCCTCGGCTATGCGCTGCGCCAGCCAGTCAGTACGGACGTCAGCGACGTACGCTTTCCAGTCCAGCTCCTGCTGGATCTTCACAGCGTATTCGCCAGCGACCCGCCTTGCCTCGGGGCCAACGACCCGGATGAAGTCCGCCGCTTCCGTAAAAACGTCAGTCTCTTCCAAATTGGCGGCAATACGAGCAGCGCGGGCGCCTTTTACCCGCTGGAAGAGTTCCTTCCAGGCCTCTTCAAGGGCCCTTGGCCCATAGACGGGGTAGGGAGCGTCGTCGCTGGACTCGGTGTCGTCCTGGGCCGATGACGAAGCGGCGTCCGCGGCAACCCCTGAGCCTCTCTCAGTGCTCGCCTCTTCGTCGGGCGTCCTCACTCGCTCGTCGGAAGCTTCGTCCTCGGGGGCTAGTCGGAGGAGCTCAGGCGACGAAGCGGGCTCGGCTCCAACGCCGAGGGTCTCTTCCCCGGTCGCTTCAAGCGTTCCCCCGGGGACAGCAGCCTCAGCGCTCAGCGATTTCTCGCCTTCGTCGGTTACGACCTTGACGCATACCGCGGCTTCGGCGACCGCGTCTTCAGCGACAGCGCCTTCAGCCGGAGCGACGACTCGCTGGGGCTTTCCCTCGGAGCTCTGCTGCGCAGATTCCATCTGAAAAATCCCAAGGTAAAGTAGTATCTCTTGGAGCTATCAAGATGACTCAGCAAGCAGAAGAAGATCAAGCATTAGAGAGCGATGGAGTAAAGCAGCAAAGCAGAAGTTGAAAAGGCAGTAGATCGAGTAAAAGCATAAGCAAAACAAAGCAAGAAAAAAAAAACAAAGATAAGGCGCAATTGGGTCGCTTAATTTCGGTTGGAACGGAGTCGTCTCGGTGACGGCGGATTCGCACGCAACGCGAGCCTCTTCTTACCTTTCGGTCGGCCACGTTTTCTCCGCGATTCGGAGTTCGTCTCGCAGTTTTCCGACCTATTCGGTTTAGACACGCTCTCGACGGGTACTGGAGAAAACAGATCGTTGAGATCAAACTCTTCTTCGGACTTAGGTTCCTCTTCTACTTCTTTGTCCGCGTCCGGACATTGGTCCTCGTCGTGGCAAGGTCGTAAGTCGCAAACGGCAACTTTACCCACATCGTGGCCTTTTTCGGTGCTCAATTGGTATGAGTTCAGGCCTAGACGAGCAGTCACGTCGAAAGGTCCCGCAAACTTCGGGCTCAGCTTAGCAGCTATTTTCATCGCTGCTGAAGAGAGTAGGCGGTTCTTAGCCCAGACTTTATCTCCAATGCAATACTCTACGTTTCTTCGCCTTACATTGTAATACTTCTCTTGGCGATCTTGCGCAATCCGAGTGTTTTCCCTAGCGACGGCGCGGAAATCATCCAATTTCTCCATCCTTGCGTGCCAGTGTTCCACTGCCGCAGCTTCAAGGTTACGGACTCGGTCTCTATCTTCCCTTCTTTTCTTGGAGTCGGGAAGTTCAGGGTGCCGCCCGTAATTAAGGAAAGCTGGAATAGCGCGCGTCGCTTCATGTATCGCTGTGTTGTAAGCGAAAGCGAATTCCGCTATGTGCGCGTCCCAGGTGGTGTGATTTTCTTGAATGAAGGCACTAATCATGGTCTTGATAGTGCGATTCACTCTCTCCGTCGGATTGCTCTTAGGAGAATACGGCGCGCACGTGCTATGCGTTACGCCGAATGAGTCCAAGAACTCATCCACCAACTTATTTTTGAACGGCGTACCGTTATCCGATAAAAATTTATCGGGCACTCCGAATCGCAAAAAGATTCGCTCCTTTAACTCGCGGCGGATCGCTTTCCCATTAGCTTTGCGTAATGGAATGCACTCTATCCAGCGAGTAAAGAGGTCAACAAAAATGAGAAGATGTTCGTGACCCTGCGCTGACCTTGGAAAAGGGCCCATAGTGTCGCCTGCCACTATTTCCCATGGCCGAGAGACTATGTGCCTTCCCATTAAACCTGCAGGAGCGACTTGCTCCACTTTGGTTTGTTGGCAGACAAGGCAATTACGGACGTAATGTGCTACGTCTCTATTCATGCCAGGCCAATAATATTTCAGCGCTGCTCGCTTTAGCGTCTTATATCGCCCTAGATGTCCTGCTGTCAGGCTATCGTGGCTTTCTACAAGCACTTGAGCTCTGCGTTCTCGCGGGAGCACTAGTTTCCATGCGTCCTCGTCCGCGCCCATCAGATCGTCAACAAGAGGATCCGGCTTGTAGATATATAGATTATCTCCGCTATACTTCCAATATGGGTGTTCGGTTGGATTCTCTCGAACCTTTTGAACCCATTTCA